TTATGGTGACTCATGAGGTCAGCCGGTGGAATAGTTCTCCGAAACCAGGTGGAACTGTTACAGTGGGAAAGCGCCCTTGACAATATGTCAACATACATCAGTAACTCCACCGAATTTGCCAAGTAATCTTAATTGAAGTGAATGACTCATTCTGACAGGTGGATGGCTCGGACGAACATCGCACAATCAACCCTGAGACAAATTGAAAAAGCTGCACTACGGATTAGTGCTGTGATGTGCTTACTCAGTGTACCTCTTGGCTATCGGGAATCACTTTTCGAGGTCCATAAGGGGTTATTAAGGAGAACAGATCCTGGAATGACCTCTGCCCCAGAGCTCCAGTGTTCCAATAGACTGTCTTATTGAACTGTTTTTTTATTGCCAGATTTGTAGATTGTAATGGTTTTTATTTCACTTTAAAATGATATGTTTGACATACATTTGAATTTGACGGTCAAAAAATCGACAGTACTCTCTAAAAGACCTAATGTATGCTATTTTTTAGGATATTCTCATAGGATTATTGCGACTACGAAAAATTTCCGATAAGGCGCACCGTCCCGAACTGAAGGTTGGTCTTTCTCGCATGTTACCACAGTTTGTTGCTATTTCGGGAGACAAAGATAATAGTTCCTGATTATTTGTATTCAAAATTCCAGGTTCGTCGGTTTCGGTTTATTTCGTTTGTTTTTTGAAGCCAACTCATGTCCTTTTTCGACTTGTCCACTTTGTTTTCGAAATTTTATTGCATTGTAGGGCAAGACATCTGTCGTGCGTGAGCTTCACGTCTACGGTTCGGTGGTATCTGTTTCAGACAGGGATCCGTGCAAGTTCCAACATCAGGTTCGTTTTTATTTCATTTCTGGAACAGCACTGTTTTTAAGACACTGCGGCTACTCTTGGTAAATATAGCTTCAAAAAATATCGGGTCAGAACATAATATCGTAGCGGTTTTTTTAGAGAGTATAAATTCAAACAACGTAAGTATCACTCGGAAAAACCGCGTATATCACTTGAAAGACTGTTTCCTCTCTACAAACACACAAACAACAACAAGCATCATTTGAAGTTTTCTTTAGAAATGTGTAGATGTAGTCAGATATAGTATAGGGTTGTCCATATTTTCTCTTTGGTTTTTCATTTCTAATCTTTCCTGAAAGAACAATTAATCAACATGTTGACGACAACGCGAGTTTTGGCTTTTTTGGCCACGTGGGACCGGGGCGATTTTGCGGGCGCGGCCGCCTCAGGTCGTTCAAGCAGATTTGAGTGATAAATACATAAATAATGATCAATACAAAACCAGATCAGTAAATTGTAATGAGCACAACCTACCAGGGGTACAGTAGTGGAATTTCGATCGAAAGACATGGAATAACAATGAAAAAGCGAAATTGGTCAGAACTAGCTGCAATGGACCTCAAAAGCAATTTTACGTTGATTATTTCAATCAAAACACACATATTGTCATCCCTAAGGTTCCGTATCTACTTCTACTACTATTTAAATCTTCACATTCATAAAAAGAAAAAGTAAACGAAAAATTTAATGAAGATTTCGTATGGTTCAGAAATCCTCCTCTAAATTAAAGCATACGTGACCATTCTAGGGCCACTATGTTTGTAGCTACGTCAAGGTCTTTCCATGGAATAAATACAAGAAACTTTCAAAAGAATCAGGCGATCCACCTCGTGACGCGCGTGGTGGATCAGTAGCAAAGACTGGGGCAAACATGGCGCTGATCTTGCCTACCGCGCTCCTTGCAAGGTTCTTCTTAAAATTGTCGTAAGGCATAATCGTTGGGTTTGGTCGTTGATCTATTTGATTCCTACTTATCCCTTTGCGCATTTGAGCTTCTGAAACATCCTGGCTGAAGGTCCTGATGTGTTCTTCAACATATCAACTTATTTCATTATGAAGCTAATTTGACATGAAGAAATTGAATTGAACCAAAATCGGCCAGAAATTATGGGACAGCTCAATACTTAAAAGTTGGAAAACCCAAATGGCTGAAATTGTTATCTCGGCAACTGCTAATCTTCGGCTCACATAGAGAAAAATCGCCAACACGGAACTTCCTTGAATTCCATTGTTCTTCTCGAATCTTGCTCTAAGCGATCCTACCTTTTTCACTCAAATTAAAAACAATATTTGTATCGCACAAATTGATGATACGAGGACTTCAAAAACGAGCTCAATGTCTTTTTTGAATTCTAAATTCGCTGATTTCCTGCGAAATGTAATCGAAGTCGTAAATAATGAGCTAGTGAACATCACTGATTATATTTGTGTTTTTATTTTTTGTTTCAAACGTTCGAAATGAATGAAATGAAAAATGCAAGCGCGACGATTATATGCCAACCCAATACCATGCTGAGGTTCATTAAAGGAGAGGTTCAGAGAGAGTCAGAGAAGATTCACGGGTCTGGTGTTCTGCTTAGTCGCATATTGTGTGGGAAGAAGCTGAGCGCTCTTCAAACCACACCTTGATTAAGCAAGGAATGTTTAGGAAAGTCCCAGATATCGCTATCACTTCCCTATGAGCTGAGCCACTATTCATTGTTCAGACGCACGCGATCTCGCAATACTATAAAGGTTGCCGAAATGTTCATCTGAATTTCCACCGATGCAATATCGTACTGCATTCCGCATATGCTCAAAAGTGAATATACAACGGTTCTCAACCCATTCACTTCTTCAGGTCGAAGTTAGGAACAAACCAGCAACGAATTAACAAACGAACACAGTCAGTTGCTAGTTGGTAGGGATTAAATTTAGTAGGGATTAAACG